TTCTTTTTAATGAAGAAGCGGAAAAATCACTAGAAAGATATTCTTTTGAACAAGTAATATGTATGCTTATTATTATATACAATACAATTTGAATTACAGTAGTGAAAATTGTATAACTCCCTTCTTTTCTCTTTCCCAAGACAACAATAATGATTTAAGTATATTGAAGAAGAATTTTTGTAATACTGTATGTAGTGTAATGAAAAGAGGGAGTAAAAATTGTATAACCTCCCCTCCCTCCTTTTCCTTCCACAGAACAAATGGTTTAAGTGTTCATCAATGAATTTTGATCGAAGTATCCCAGCAGTTGTTGCCACAAATTCTCTGTTATATGTCATAGGAGGTCACCGTCAAAATAACCTTAATAGATTGGTAAGAAAGGGAGAATGGCAATGGAAGAATGAAATGAATTAATTATATGGAATGAATTATATTACAATTTTAACCTTCTAACTTTTTTTTTAGGTATCTGTCGCTAATGTGGAATATTTCGACCCTAAGAATAATAAGTGGATGAACTGTACATCACTCCCTGAGGGCCGGTCTTATTCTAGAGCAGTCTTAATTTGACTCCCTAAACCTTCCTCAAGACTGATATTATCTTCATATTTAATCCATTTAAAAAGGTTTGCTTTCTATCTTTTAATTTAACTTACCTAACATGAAATTTGAAAGTATCCTTATAATTAGTATCTGAAGCTGCATGTGTGGTGGAGCTTTCTCATCACGAGGAGGAGGAATGTAAATCTTATCCTAACTACCTGACGATATACATTTGGCTGTGAGTAGGAAGCATTTGGAGGTGAGGACGGAAGCATCACCACCACCACCTCTTACCTCCCCCTCTCTGTTAAAATTACCAGATATCACCACTACCACTATTTACAAAAAACACTGGTGGGTTGTGTGGTTAGTGTTACATTAGTATTTGAGAATGGCGGCGACACGTGTGGATCACAAATTTAATCTATTTAAACTGCTCATAGAATTTATATATACTGGTGAGGATAATTTCGGAACAAAATAAAAACTTAAATTAATGTATAGTTTTTACTACCTATCCCAGGCTGCTGTAGTTTAGTTTTGCTACTGTTTGGAGGTGAGGACGGAAGCATCACCACCACCACCTCTTACCTCCCCCTCTCTGTTAAAATTACCAGATATCACCACTACCACTATTTACAAAAAACACTGGTGGGTTGTGTGGTTAGTGTTACATTAGTATTTGAGAATGGCGGCGACACGTGTGGATCACAAATTTAATCTATTTAAACTGCTCATAGAATTTATATATACTGGTGAGGATAATTTCGGAACAATCGAGATAACAAAGGAAAACATACAGGAGTTAATTGTGACTGCAAACATGATAGGAATACCCCAGGTTGTACGTATTTGTACAAACTTTCTCAGGAGAGAACTTCATCCATCCAATGCTTTAAGAATTTACAGGTACGTACAGTATAATAATTAATATTATTTTCTTGTTTTGATGTTTTTTATTTGTATATGTACGTATACAATGCAGAATTTGAACTAAATCCCATTTTTTTTCTTTTTGTTGGGGGAACAGGTTTGCTGAGGCCCATAATTTAGTATCGTTGCTGCATTCTTCACGGGACTTCATCTTGACCAATTTCGTGGAAGTGACAAAGGAGCAGGGGGCTTGAAGAGAAACCTTCCTCAAGACTGACATTATCTTCATATTTAATCCATTTAAAATAAAAAAAAGCTTGCTTTCTATCTTTTTAACTTACCTAATATGAAATTTTAAAGTAATAAAGAACTGACCAAAGCTGTCTAACGTTGCTTATCACATACGTTACAGCAAAACTTTGCTTCCTTGTCATGTGACTTATGCTTAACTATAGTGAAAAAGAAGTAAAAAATTGTCATGTAGAGGGAGTATTTTGATCCTAAGGATAACAAATGAAGAAACTGTACACCCCTGAGGAACGGTATGATGAGTAAAAAAGTGTATATTTTTTTGCTTTTTTTTATCCAGGTCTTCTTTAATGGGCCCCAGGGTTAATGGGGCCTCTAATCTTAATGGGCCCTTAGTCTTAATGGGTCCCAGTTTTAATGGACACTCAACTAACTTAACACACAAATATTACATATTAAATTACCCCAACATACTGAAAGAAAGAGGCTGCTGGCTGTAGTTTAGTTTTGTTATTGTTTGAAGAAGCAACGGAAGCACCACCACCACCACCACCACCACCACGGGTATTACCAGATATCACCACACAACTAAAAACAAAACTGACAACTGGTTAGTATTACATTAGTATCTGAAGATGGCGGCTGCACATGTGGAGCTCTCTCATCACAAGGAGAAAGAGGAGCAGGAGAAGGAGGAGGAAGAGGAATGTAAATCTTATCCGAACTACCTGCTAGACTACATACATTTCCTCTGGCAGTCACAAGAATTATGTGATGTAGAAATATTATTAGCTGATGGATCAGTTATGAAGGTGAGTAAGTGAAACATTTATCTGTAAGTGAAGAAACATTTACCTCCTACCTATATATCTTTCTCTGCCCGCCCTCCATCACTCACTCACCATTTACACACATATAGGGGGAGGGAAACTTAACTACACTGCCCACACTCACCATCCGTTTAGGAGAAGTCAGTGGAACATGGTTAACAAAGTATATCCAGTACAGTAGAAGAAATTTCCCTGTTCCCCCAACTTCCCTTCTTCTCCGACACAAATAAAGAGTTACTTATCCAACTTTCTTCTCACGAGAGAATCAATGTTTCCAAGCAGTGATTTGATTTGGGCGGCTTGCTTCCTAGCAGTGGTTTGATTTGGGCGGCTTGCTTCCTAGCAGTGGTTTAATTTTGTTGTCTGTCCGTCCATAATTCTCTCACTTTTATGTAATCTGATGGGATTACATTTTATTCCACAGGCTCACCGTGTAATACTGTCAGCTGGAAGCAAATATTTTAAGACCATGTTTACGTGTGAATTTGCTGAGAAAACAACACAGTCAATAGAAATGAAGTTCATGAAACCCAATATATTACGACTGCTCGTCGACTTCATATATACTGGTAAGGGAAAATATTTTAAGTTTTCATAGTGCTATGCTGCTATCTATATGTAAAAATTTTATTTTGTTGCAAATGAATAAATGAATTTTTTTTTTCTTTTTTTGTCAAAAACTTTAGGAAACATCGAGATAACAGTGGAAAATGCACAGGAGTTAATTGCGGCTGCGAACATGTTGATGATATCACGTGCTGTACTTGTTTGTATAGACTTTCTCAAGAGCGAACTTCATCCATCTAATGCTTTGGGAATTTACCGGTACGTGCAGTATAATAATAATAGTTAATTATTTTCCAACTGTTTATATAATATGTATTTTTATCTGTCCTATACGTAATTTTTTTTTTTTTTTTTAAAAACAGGTTTGCTGAGGCCCATAATTTAGTAAGGTTGCTGCATTCTTCCCGGGACTTCATCTTCTCCAATTTCGTAGAAGTGACAATGGAGCAAGAATTTCTTGAGATTCCGAAAGAAATTCTGCTGTATTTTTTGGATTCAGAGTATCTTCATATTGACTCTGAGTTTCAGGTAAAATGTAAATATTTTTTTTTTATTTAATATGTACAACTTTCAATTGACTTTTATTTACAAGATTATTAACCCGAATTTATCTTTCTATTATTTATTGCAGGTATTCTCTGCTGCTATCAGATGGATTACACAAGCACAAGATATAAATAATAGATATTGTTGTTGGAATTTTGACATTTTAAAACGACTGAAATTGCCTTTAATTTCAAGTAAACTAATAAAAAAAGCAATTAATGAGTGCTCCGCTGATATTAAATTGAAGGTTAACCTTAAAAAGCAGACAAACTTGGCTAAAAAGGAAGCAGCCTTTTCTGTCCAGCCAAGAATTTGTACTCGAAAGAAAATTTATCTCATAGGTGGATTCATGAAAGAACTCTATATATCAGATGGGTTTACATTTAAAAGTGTCGAATGTTTTGATATCTTTAGGCAGAAATGGCAGAAAGTTTGCCCTATGAAAATTGTGAGAAGTTCACCAGGAATAGCAGTCTTAAATGGGAAAATTTTCGTTGTTGGAGGGAGTGGAGAGGACAGTCAGATTTGGGCAGATGGCGAAGTTTATGATCCACAGGAAGATTATTGGACTGGAATATCTTCTATGGTGATCCCACGGTCTGATTTTGGATTATGCGCTCATGGAGGTTTTCTCTATGCCTTCGGTGGTTGGACGGGATTGGTCATCGAAAAAAGTATTGAAAGATATGACCCTATTGCAGATGAGTGGACATTATTAGAGTCAAATATGCCAGAAGGTAGATCCAAGTAAGTACAATAACAATTTTCAAATTGGATTTACTGACTGATAGTGTGAACTACTGATAATAATGAGAAAATATAAGTGCCTATACTTTTTTTTTTTTTTTACAGAATGGGTATAGTAGAAAATCAAGGTCTTATTTACATTGTTAGTGGACGTATGGACTCTTATAACCCCTTTCATGAACTTCTCTCATACAATCCTGTAACTGGGGAGTGGAGAGATCTAGCAGCACTGAGTGCTCCACCTCGCTACAACTACATGGGTGTTGCAGTTTTGAATAACTTTTTGTATTTAGTGGGTGGTCTTTTTAATGAAGAAGGGGAAAAATCACTAGAAAGATATTCTTTTGAACAGGTAATGTGCATGCTTATAATTATATACAATACAATTTGAATTATAGTAGTGAAAAGGGAGTAAAAATTATATAACTCCCTTCTTTTCTCTTTCCAAAGACAATAATAATAATTTAAGTAATATGGGAGAAGAATTTTTGTAATAATGTAGTGTTGTATAACCTCCCTTCTTTTCCTTTCCACAGAACGAATGGTTTAAGTGTTCATCAATGAATTTTTGGCGAAGTATCCCAGCAGTTGTTGCCACAAATTCTCTGTTATATATCATAGGTGGTCATCGTCCCAATGACCACCTTGAACTGGTAAGAAAGGAAGAATGGAAATGGAAGAATGAAATGAATAAATTATATTACAAATTTAACCACCTAACCACCTGTTTTTTTTTCTAAAGGTATCTGTCGCTAATGTGGAGTGTTTCGACCCTAAGACTAATAAGTGGATGAACTGTACATCACTCCCTGAGGGCCGGTCTTATGCTAGAGCAGTCTTACTTTAACTCCCTTCGACATCCCCAATCAAGAAAACTTCCCTCAAGACTGACATTTGTCTCCTCCATATTTAATCCATTTTAAATAAAAAAAGCTTGTTTCCTATCTTTTTTAACTTACCCTAACATGAAATTTGAAAGTATTCTTATAAAGTATCCTTGTGGATCAATGGTACCATTGTTTAATTTTGTCGAAATATCCCAGCAGTTGTTGCCTGCCACAAATCCTCTGTTATGTCATAGGCGGTTACGGTTATCATAACTTGGTAAGGAAGAATGGAAATAAGAATAAAATATATTAATAATTCCTAAATATTTTTATAATAATCCTTTATAATAAGTTTTAATCTAAAACCTGAGGATAAAAAGTGGAGAAACTGTACATCACTCCCTAAGGAACGGTCTAATGATGCTTTAGTAGTCTCAATTTGACTCGAAACCTTGAGTCTATCCCTCCTCCTAATCACAGCCTATTAACATAAAATGTACCGGGAACTTGATATATTAATGCTAGAGCAGTCTCAATTTACTCTCTTCTCTCTCCCAAGCTGACAACTGGTTAGGTTAGTCTTACATTAGTATCTGAAGATGGCGGCTGCACGTGTGGAGGAGCTCTCTCATCACGAGGAGGAGGAGGAGGAGGAATGTAAATCTTATCCTAACTACCTACTAGACGATATACATTTCCTCTGGCAGTCAGAAAAGTTATGTGATGTAGAAATATTATTAGCTGATGGATCAGTTGTGAAGGTGAGTGAGTGAAACATTTATCTGTGAGTGAAGAAACATTTCTCTGCCTGCCCTCCATCACCCACCCATCATTTACACACCATATCGGGGGAGGGAAACTTAACTACACCGCCCACACTCACCCTCCATTCCTTATTACCGCCCAGGAGAAGTCAGTGGAACATGATTAACAAAGTCTATCCAGTGCAGTGGAAGAAATTTCCCTGCTCTCCCCTAACTTCCTTTCTCCCCCGACACAAATAAAGAGCTGTTTATCCAACTTTCTTCGCACGATAGAATCAATGTTTCCTAGCAGTACTTTGATTTGGGCTTGCTTCCTAGCAGTGGTTTAATTTTGGTTTGCTTCCAGGTAATGGTTTGATTTTGTTGTCCGTCCGTCCATAATTCTCTCACTTTTATGTAACTTCACAAAACCTATGCTATGACAACGACTCTTCACCCAGATTTTTACGTCCCCTTAATGTATGTATAAAGGCAGTATGAACGAACTAACAAATTTTAAAAAATAAACGATGGGGATTACATTTTATTCCACAGGCTCACCGTGTAATACTGTCAGCGGGAAGCGACTATTTTAAGACCATGTTTACGTGTGGATTTGCTGAGAAAACAACACAATCAATAGAAATGAAGTCTATGAAACCCAATATATTAAAACTGCTTATCGACTTCATATATACTGGTAAGGGAAAATATTTTAAGTTTTCATAGTGCTAAGCTGCTATCTATAAGTAAAATTTTTATTTTGTTGCAAATGAAGAAATGAAATATTTTTTTTTTCTTTTTTTGTAAAAATACTTTAGGAAACATCGAGATAACAGTGGGAAACGCACAGGAGTTAATTGTGGCTGCGAACATGCTGTTCATGCCCCGTGCTGTATTTGTTTGTACAGACTTTCTCAAGAGCGAACTTGATCCATCCAATGTTTTGGGAATTTACAGGTAACGAATTTTTATTTTGTTTCTGTTCTGTTTTAATTTGATTGATTCTGATTCGATCTAATCCTATTCTAGAGAGGATATTTTTTTATTTTTTTTATTTTTTTTTTTTTTACAGGTTTGCTCAGGCCCATTATTTAGTAAGCTTGTTGAATGGTTCGCGGGATTTCATCTTCTCCAATTTCGTAGAAGTGACAATGGAGCAAGAGTTTCTTGAGATTCCTAAAGAAACTCTACTATATTTTTTGGATTCTGAGTATCTTCATATTGACTCTGAGTTTCAGGTAAATATTATATATTTTTCTTTTTATTTAATATTTATTTATTGAAAATTTTATTTATTTTTTCTTTTTTTATTGCAGCTCTCACTTTCTTTTTCTTTTCTTTTGTTATATTGCAGGTATTCTCTGCTGCCATCAGATGGATTACACAAGAAATAACTGATAGACTTTGTTGGATTCTCGATATTTTAAAAAAGTGAAATTGTCTTTAATTTCAAGTAAACTAATAGAAAAAGCAATTAATGAGTGCTCTGACATCAGATTGAAAGTTAACCTTAAACAGCAGATAAACTTGGCTAAAGAGGAAGCCTCCTTTTATGTCCAGCCAAGAATTTGTAATCGAAAGAAAATTTATGTCATAGGTGGATCAAGGAAAGAATTCAATATAATATGGAATAGATCAGAGGAATATCTACTTAAAAGTATCGAATGTTTTGATACCTTTAGGCAGAAATGGCAAAAAGTTTGTCCTATGAAAATTGGGAGAATTTCACCAGGAATAGAAGTCTTACATGGAAAAATTTTCGTGGTTGGAGGGGTTGGAGAGATAGACGCTCAGATTTTGGCGGATGGCGAAGTTTATGATCCACAGGAAGATTATTGGACTGGAATATCTTCTATGGTAATCCCACGGTGTGATTTTGGATTATGCGCTTATGGTGGTTATCTCTATGCCTTCGGTGGTTGGACGGATTCAATGGAAATAGGAAAAAATATTGAAAGATATAACCCTATTACAGATGAGTGGAGATTATTAGAGTCAAATATGCCAGAAGCTAGATCCAAGTAAGTACAATAACCAGTACAATAACAATTTTGATTTACTGATAGTGTGAATTACTAATAATAATAATGAGAAAATGTCGCAGTAACCTGTACTGTTTTTTTTCCTTTTTTTTTCTTTTTATAGCATGGGTATAGTAGAACATCGAGGTCTTATTTACATTATTGGTGGATATACGGACACTTACAATCCCCTGCATGATTTTCTCTCATACAATCCTGTAACTGGAGAGTGGAAGAATCTAACATCAATGCAAGGTCCACCGTCTAAGACGATAGGCGTTGCAGTTTTAGATAATTTTTTGTACGTAGTGTGTGATGGTATTCTGGATGAAAATTCAATGAAAAGATATTCTTTTGAGCAGGTAAGATTATTTACCAGTACTTAAAGTTTAATATTGTAACCAGGAAGTGGAAGAATTGTTGTAATACTTTAGGAACAAAGGGAAAAAATTGTATACCCCCCTCCCGCCCCCTTACTCTTGTTTTAACCTTTTTCTTTTACTTTCCCACAGAACCAATGGTTTAAGTGTTCGTCTTCAGAGTATTTGGGTCGAAGTAGCCCAGCAGTTGTTGTCACAAATTCTCTGTTATATGTCATAGGCGGTTACTGGAGTGGTTTGAATGGAATTGGAATGGTAAGGAAAGAAGAATAAAAGAATGATTAATATAAAATGATAAATATTGATAATAATATTTATAACTTTTTTTTTTCTTTTTAGATTTCTCTCGCTAATGTGGAGTATTTCGACCCTAAGAATAACAAGTGGATAAGCTGTACACCACTCCCTGAAAGTCGGACTAATGCTATAGCAGTCTTAATTTGACTACTCGAAACTTTGAAAACCTATATACTGATTTCCTCCTCCTCCTCCTCCTTCATTCTCACTCATTCTTATTTTAGTAAATAAAAAGCAAATAAATAAATGTATAGTTTTTTACTACCCTATAGGATATAATCCCAACATACTGCCAACTACCTGCTAGGTCACATTGCAAACTAGCCAATAGAGAAAACAAAAATACTCAGTTTTTCACATATATATGGTTTTGCGGTTTTGCAGTATGTGATAAAAAAACAATGCATAAAATAATTTTAATAGTGTTTATTTGGTTCGGTTAAAATAATAACAATGTGCAAAAAGAAATTAAATCTTTTCCATTCCATACATTAAAGGAAATTTGAACATTTCATTTGAACATTTCATCCGGAATACTTTATTTTTTCACAAAGATCTGTATTCCTCTATGACGCAATACCAAAGGGGAGAGTATAAGTTCCTTATGGATATCTTCTGAAGATTCTACTTCTAGTTCCTTATGGATATCTTCTGAAGATTCTACTTCTAGGATAATTATCTCTCCTGTAAGGGTAAGGGTTTTCACAAAGATGTTGTTTCCTCCTCTAATAAGACGCAGTGTAGATTCCTTCTGGATATTGCAGTCAGAAAGAATGCGACAATCCTCCAACTGCTTACCAGCAAAGATCAATTTCTGCAGCTTTGGGGAGGTGCCTTCCCTATCCTGAATTTTTGCCTTTACATTTTCAATGGTGTCTGAAGGTTCTACTTCTAGGGTAAACTTTCCTGTAAAGGTTTTCACAAAGATTTGCATTCCTCCTCTAAGACGCAATACCAAATGGAGTGTAGATTCCTTCTGGATATTGTAGTCAGAAAGAATGCGACAATCCTCCAACTGCTTACCAGCAAAGATCAATCTCTGCTGGTCTGGGGGGATGCCTTCCTTATCCTGAATTTTTGCCTTTACATTTTCAATGGTGTCTGAAGGTTCTACTTCAAGAGTAATAGTCTTTCCAGTGAGGGTTTTCACGAAGATCTGCATGATGTACTGCAAAGAAAACAATTCATTAGTAAAATTTTAGCCACAGTATAATTCTTAAATAATCTTAAATTTAAATATCTACAAGATTGTTGAGCATGTTATAGTAGGTAGCAAGGCAACCATTATATATGAAAACACAAGACTACTACATTAATATTTTATACACATATTGTACAGTACACATAAATCTTGGCTTTAACCAAAGTAACTACATACCCCCCCACACACACATACAGTATAGAGCAATAACACATGTACTCCACAGATGTTCATTTGCAGTCTATCTTCTGTGTAACCTAGCTATGCATATACAAATATAGTATAATAAAATTAAATGCCTAGCATTTATGGGCTTTAGGCAGAAATGGCAGAAAGTTTACCCAATGAAAATTGAGAGATGTGGGCCAGAAGTAGCAGTCTTACATATAGAAATTGAACCGGCAGACGATGAACTTTATAATCCTGATCCGCTTTTGGAAGATAATTTGATCGGGGTATCTTCTATGGTGCTCCCACGGTGATTTTGGATTATGCGCTCATGGAGGTTATCTCTATGCCTTTGGTGGTTTGACTGTCTTAGGAGTGTGGCTGTAGTTTAGTTTTGTTACTGTTTGAAGAAGCAACGGAAGCACCACCACCACCACCACCACCATTACGGGTATTACCAGATATCACCACACCACTAAAAATAAAACTGACAACTAGTTAGTATTACATTAGTATCTGAAGATGGCGGCTGCACATGTGGAGCTCTCTCATAACGAGAAGGAGGAGGAAGAGGAATGTAAATCTTATCCGAACTACCTGCTAGACTACATACATTTTCTCTGGCAGTCACAAGAATTATGTGATGTAGAAATATTATTAGCTGATGGATCAGTTGTGAAGGTGAGTAAGTGAAACATTTACCTGTATTTATCTCCTACACTTTCTTCTCTGCCTGCCCTCCATCACCCACCTTTTATACCCATATCGAAGTACACCGTCCACACTCTACCCGCCGCCGCCCTAACTGCCCAGGAGTCTAGGACCAAGGAATAGTGGAAGAAATCTCCTAACTTCTCTGAATGCTTCCTAGAAGTGGTTTAATTTTTGGTTTGTTTGCTTCCTAGCAGTGGTTTGATTTTGGCTTGCTTCCTAGCAGTGGTTTGATTTTGGCTTACTTCCTATTGTTCGACCAGTCTACATCTATAGGTACCTCACCGCACTGTTATTATGGCCTCTCTCATTTTACATCCTCCACTTGCCCCATGACCTCCTCCTATAGGTCCCAGGCCGTTACCAACATTTTTCCTTCTCACAAAATATCCCTCCTCCCAGTCCTCCTCCCAGTCATAGGCCTGGTATTTGACGACATATTAATGTCACGTCAATCTTTATCATAACCAGGAACTCCCTCCCCCCCCCACCACCTACAAATTCAATCCATCTCTCATTTTTATTTAAACTTGACAAAACCTATGTTATGACGACGACCCTTCACCTAGACTTTTACGCCCCCTTAACGTACCCACCCCAATCAATAAACTAGCCCCCCTCGGGGACAAATATAAAAAAAAAAAAAAACTGATGGAGATTACATTTTATTCCACAGGCTCACCGTGTAATACTCTCGGCGGGAAGCAAATATTTTAAGACCATGTTTACTGGTGGATTAGCTGAAAAAACAACACAGTCAATAGAAATGAAGTTTATGAAACCCAATATATTAAAACTGCTCATCGAGTTCATATATACTGGTAAGGGAAAACATTTTAAGTTTTCATATTGCTATGCTATATGTAAAACAAAAAGAAATAATTATAAATAGAAAATTTATTTTTGTTTTTTAAATACTTTAGGAAACATCAAGATAATAGTGGAAAACGCACAGGAGTTAATTGCGGCTGCAAACATGCTGATAATGTCCCGTGCTGTACTTGTTTGTACAGATTTTCTCAAGAGGGAACTTCATCCATCTAATGCTTTAGGAATTTACCGGTACGTACAGTATAATAATTAATTATTTTCAAACTATTTATATAATATGTATTTTTATCTGCACCTATACGTAACTAATTCCATATTTATTTTATTTTAAAAAACAGGTTTGCTGAGGCCCATAATTTAGTAAGGTTGCTGCATTCTTCCCGGGATTTCATCTTCTCCAATTTCGTAGAAGTGACAATGGAGCAAGAATTTCTTGAGATTCCGAAAGAAATTCTGCTGTATTTTTTGGATTCAGAGTATCTTCATATTGACTCTGAGTTTCAGGTAAAATATAAATATTTTTTTATATTTAATATGTACGTACAACTTTCAATTGACTTTTACAAAAATTTGAACTCGAATTTATCTTTCTTTATTATTTATTGCAGGTATTCTCTGCTGCCATCAGATGGATTACACAAGCACAAGATATAAATAATAGATATTGTTGTTGGAATTTTGACATTTTAAAACGACTGAAATTGTCTTTAATTCCAAGTAAACTAATAGAAAAATCAATTAGTGAGTGCTCCGCTGATATCAGATTGAAGGTTAACCTTAAACAGCACACAAACTTGGCCAAAAGGGAAGCCTCGTATGTCCAGCCAAGAATTTCTACACGAAAGAAAATTTATGTCTTAGGTGGACAAAAGAGAGAAATCTGTGTCCCCTTTCGAAGAACAGATCTGTTTACATATAAAAGTGTCGAATGTTTTGATATCTTTAAGCAGAAATGGCATAAAGTTTGCCCCATGAAAATTGAGAGATGTGGGCCAGGAATAGCAGTCTTACATGGGAAAATTTTCGTTGTTGGAGGGGAGATAGAAATAAAAAAACGGGGACATGATAATCAGATTTTGGCAAATGGTGATGTTTATGATCCTCAGAAAGATAATTGGACCGGGATATCTTCTATGATGCTCCCACGGTGTGATTTTGGATTATGCGCTCATGGAGGTTATCTCTATGCCTTTGGTGGTTTGACTATCTTTAATCGTTGGACGGGATCGACCGATGCGGTCATATCCCAAACGATTGAAAGATATAACCCTATTGCAGATGAGTGGAGATTATTAGAGTCAAAAGCATGGGGCTGATGAGATATCAAGGTCTTATCTACATTGTTGGTGGATATACGTACACTCGCAAGCCCATGGGTGATCTTCTCTCATACAATCCTGTGACAGGGGAGTGGAAGAATCTACCACCAATGATAGGTCAACCAAACCCCTACAGGCACAACGACATTATGAGTGTTGCAGTTTTGGATAACTTTTTGTATGTAGTAGGTGGTGTTCAGGAGGAAAAATCAATGGAAAGATATTCTTTTGAACAGGTAAGATTATTTACCAGTGCTGTACTTATGAATTCTTACTATTATATACAACAAGATTTGAATTACAATGATGTAGCTAGGATGTGAAAGAATTTTTGTAATACTGTAGTGAAAAGGGAGTAAAACATTGTATAACCTCCCTCCTCCCCCCTTCCTTTTACCTTTCTTCTTTTACTTTCCCACAGAACAAATGGTTTAAGTGTTCATCAATGTATTTTGGTCGAAATATCCCAGCAGTTGTTGCCACAAATGTTGCCACAAATTCTCTGTTATATGTCATAGGTGGTGACAGTTCTGAGAACTGGGTAAGGAAGAATGGAAATAAAAAAATGAAATATATTAATATTCCTACATATCTTAATAATCAGTTTTAATCTAAAGCCTAAAGTATTTATTTTCTTTTTTTTTAGATGTCTGTCGCTAATGTGGAGTATTTTGATCCTAAGGATAACAGGTGGAGAAACTGTACACCACTCCCTGAGGAACGGTGTGGTGCTAGAGCAGTCTCAA